TCTGAGCTCTCTCCATTATTTTTCCAGCTACACATACAAATATGCATTGTCCATCTCAATTTAAATAACCTTCTTTCTTTGAATTTTAGTGTCGTTATTGCTGTTAAGTGGTTTTTTCCCTAATTTTTTGATTGCTAATGTTAGAGATTTTAGAACAGTAAAATTTCTAGTTTTTTCCTTCTATATTTTGGAGTTCAGTTTTGAAAGTTGAGGGAAGATTTTTAGCTTGTAATTGAAGGGGTCTATTGTCTATAAATCATATACATGCTTATTTGTATGTGCAGCTGTAAATTTATTTGTGAAATAGAGCTGTAAATTTCTGCTTTGGGGTTTATTGGTAAAGAATTTATTGATTTCGACTTGACAGGTGATTGTGGAGAAATATGAGTTGCTTGATCAAAAGAAATTATTGTCACTTTCAAGTTTAGACTTCATTCTCAATTCCAATTAAGTAATGGCTTTCTCTAACTTGGTGATTTAGAATTGTGTATGGAATTAATTGTTGTCTATTATGAATTTTAATGTAGTGTTTTGATGAAAAATGAAAAATGGTATTTATATTTCGTTGGAAATTTGCAAAACTTATTGTTTGATTGTTATTACATTCCATCTTTTTTCCTGGGGAGTTTATTATTGTTAGCGAATTGGGTTCTAATTTTTTGCCCTGAATTTCTGGCTATGGCTGTTGAGGTGAATTACATTAGAATTGCAAGTTTGTTGCAGTGCCTATTCTCCATTATTTGTTTAAGAAGTATTCATGTTATTTTGATTAGAAATTGACAATAAGAAAATTATTGTGGAAAATATCCTTTTTTGCTTTTTGTATCTGATAGATTAGTTTGTATAAATTGGTAAAAATTTCACCTTTTTAGGTTTTATACCTAGTTATCCGTGTATTTGATTTGCGTGCAGCAACTTTTGCTTCACTTTTTGTTTCTGTTTTATCCAGAAATTGATAACCAGTCTTGTTGTTTAGGAAGGAAAGAGGAAAGAAACAATCCAAGATCACTACTTTTTTTCAGTTGATAATCCCATGGATGTACAGAGCATACTCGGAAACAACCATATAGAAGATGTCCGTTGGCTCTGCTCTCTATCTGAGTCGGAACTCGTAAGTTCAATCACTTTTTTTTCTTTTCTCGTACTTCATGTTAATTTTCTAATACTTTGGTGCAATGATTTTATGTAATATGCACACTTGTTAATTATTTTATGTTTATAGGATTTTTTGACGGGTTTGAAAACTCTGATACATCAGCGTGCCAAGAAAATCGGACATGAGGCCCTAGTAAAGAAATTTGATTTACGAACACTTCGAGCCCTCAGTATGTTTCTATTACCAATCCCTTTTCGTTGTGTACCTTTTTTTAGTTAATCTATGATTATGATTTTTTATGCTTTTTTCATATATTATTTTGTGTGTTTTTCTAATGATTCCTGATTTACTGTTCTTGGCTGTAGTTATCTTTTAGAACATTTGGGTCTGGGAGAAAAAACATTTTATTTATCTTTCACCATTTTAAATTTGTAGGCAAACCAAGTTTAAGCAGTAAATTCAACAAATTTTAATCTTAATAATTATATGTGAAAACTTTATTTGATGTTCTCCGAGTTCGTAAATTTTGATAATTGACAAAATTTTAGTATTACATTCTGTTCAATGTCTTGACTTTGAATTTCATATATGCCAGCACACACTTAGGACGTTCTCTTCTTCTTCTTCTTTTTACGAAAAGAGGAATGCTTTATCACCTAATGTGGATCCCGCACATTCAGGAATGAGGGAGTGATGGATTCCGTTTAAGCTGCATAGTTCACATCAAGGTTTGTGGGACTTCATTTAAAAACAAAGTTTCCGCCCAGAAGTGATCAGGCCTGCGAGTCAACTGTCGAAAACTTCAAATTTTTGAGCTGGCAGAAAGGTGGGGGCTGAACCATACACTTTTAAGGATCTTTTATATGATTCATACGCCCATACTCTGGGGCGGAGCCATATGGGGACCAGTGTGGCCAGTTGCCCCACTGGGTTCTGGGAAAAACTCTTACCATTTGAAATGCTCTCTTTGTATGGCACTACAAGCAAGAGGTCTTTTGCATTATTTTTAAATGGATTCTAGTTGTGTTTAGCAATAAAGGAGAGAATAGAAAGGGGGGAGAGAGGGAAGAAAAATAAGATCCGAAATAAATGGGGTAAGAAAGACTACTTACTTCTTTCAAGCTTTAGAAAGCACTCACTGTGTTACTTACAGAATCTCAAATCTCTCTTGGCGTTGCCCTCTCCACTTTGCATGCTCTGGGTGACAAAGTAAAGAGTCATAAAACCTATTATGTTGACTATAATAGCTCTAGTAATTAATTAACTAATTATCACTAACTAAAACAATACTTGAAACAAGTTAATGAGAATTATTAACACTGCTTGCAATGCTGATCTTGAAATCCATCATTGATTTTAGGCCTCTGGATTTGACTGATGCAATGCCATTTGCCTGTGTTGCTATACCTGGTATTATTATAAGAAATAGAGTTGTTTTTGAATAAGATGATCTTAATCAATTTAGATTTGGTTTTTGGTTCATTTTGACTATGAGTGACTTCGATAGAACACCGTGACTTCGATAGAACACCAAATAGAATCAAAATGTAATTAAAGAAGAGGGAGTGTCGTAAGATAATCCTTCAGTTAAAGTTTGAGATTCGAATCCCAGATGTATTTGGCCCTTTAGCAGCTGTTACACCACCTGCAAACTGAATTTATTGTCATAACATGGATTTATTGACAGATTTGATGAATTGAAACTGTGGCCATGAGCGAGTGCATATCTATACTGGTGAAAATTAAGTGAATATAAGAAACCATATTGTTGAGATCTATAAAGCTGTAAATATAGTCAACTTTCCTCCATTTGAGATTTGATTTGACTCGAGAGTAGAAAACGTTGGCGGGGTTCAAGGTTTGATGTTGGATTACATTTTATTTTTTATTTGTTCATGTTTTGGATGATTTTTCATCATATTTTTATTTTGTTTGAATCAGCTTCTAACCATAGAACATTTTCAGGTTTTGCATTGATGGAAAATCTAAAGGGGGAACTTAAGGATTTATCAGCAACTTCAGGCTTTAAGTGTAATTTGCTGAGTTATAATCTCAATGGCATTAGTAGCTTGACAATCGAGGAATTGATTCCGTTTATTTGCTCGGACAAGAGGAAAAGAATATCAGACATGTAAGTTAATTAGGCAAAACTCTATAGGTCTTATTTTGATCTCGTAACCAAAACCATGTTCTTCTAATAGTACTCCATTATTGTGTTCATTTGATTGGCGTAGGGACACCGTGATTCTTTGAAACATCCTTTTTTTCGTTTCTATTAATGACTTACATTAGCTTATTGTTATTTATGTGCGAAGAATGCATCTTTTTGGATAAAAAATTCTTTATTGAATAACAATCACCTGGAATATATATACAATTATGTTAGGACTGCACAAGGAAATAATTTTACAAGGAAGCTTAGGTAACTAAATAAACTAGATATGGAAGGTAGATGATCTTTTCAATTTTTATGTGATTTGTCGAGATTTTCCACATTATTTATGATGAACAGTTGCATCTCTGTGTAGGTTTTCTCAAGATATGCCACCCAGTCAAAAGCAGAAAACTGGCGATTGAGGATTCATGTAATTGCTCAGCTGAACCTGCAGTATCTCTTTATTTCTAACTTCTGCCACGGGAGTCTGGAGCCCAGTTTCCGACATTATTCAACATTCCGAGCAAAATAGTTTGGCGTATTCCTGGCGGTGCTTGTTATGAAAAAGAATACCTTGTAAAAGATTTTCTATGGCATCCAAGTAGAGCTGTCTATTCATTGTTCATAAATGATGTATTTTTAACATATATTCACTTGTCTGGCAGTTGCTGAGAAATTTCTCTGTTTCATAATCAGCCCAATCTTTTGCTAAATATATACTTCAGATATACAAGATTCAAAATACAAAATCGAAGACGTCTCTTAAACCAAGACTATTGGATGTGAACTTTGTTAACATACAAAGTGACAATACTATAACCAATCTCAATGCTAAATTTAAATTAGAACGTCATGGAAATGGTGCGAGCAAAACCATGAGGGGCCTTTGAAATTAAATGACGTCTACTTAAATTTGCTCTTGTTTCTATGCTTGGTTACTTGCAGAATTTGAGGAAGCAGAATTCTCCTCTAAACGAAATCTTGTGATTTATGAAGCTGTAATTTAACTGGTGGACTTCAAAACATAACGGTACATTTGGCCAAATTGAGTGAAAATTGTCTTTGGCATTATGCTCTAATCCGTTCTTACGACAGAAACTATCAACAGAATGAAAATTGAAAGCAAACATACTGAGAGTTACATCCACTTGTGACTAGTTTTACTATGACGAAGAATGATTATGAGCATACAAGGTTTTTCTCGCGCATGCAAAATTGGCTTCAATATCTTTTTTAATATAGCATTAGATCGACCTGCAGTCGAGAGAATTAGTGCATAATGAATAAATATATTGGCCTGCTAAGCATGTCTTTATTTTGAAATTCGAGTATTTTCATTGTTAATTTCATTTTAATGTCGACGAAGACAAAGATTTAAATTATATTAGCAACCAGTTTTTTTTTTATACCCAGATGTCCACCTTCGGTGACTAATCCTGGGGTCTACGCCTTAGCCCCGCAAAACGCAGACCAAGTAAACCGCGGGATGTGCCCCAAACTGGCCAGGGTCCAAGAGCCATCTCCACTGATCTGCCAAGTGACTCGCTGTCAGCACTTGTTGCACCTTGCCTTCCAAGAGAACTCCTGCACGAAACGAACTCGCGACTTCTGAACTGCCAACAACTAAGAGCCTTGTCCTTTGCCGGTTGGAATGTGCCCTGGGGGGCATGAGCAACCAGTTTTTTACTTCTAGGAGAGGAGGTCATATACTGAAATGTATACCTGATAACTTCAGATACATTTAAAATGCAAGACTGTTTTTGACAGGGAAAAAAATCAAATCAAAGCCATATAGCGGAATGCTCAACAGTTTTGGAAAAGAAGGATGTTTTCCTCTTGTAAGCCTCAGAAAAAATGCGACTCTAAGAGCACCAAAATGTCTAAATAAAATTGTTAATCTTGCTGGAGCAATCAAATATTACCTTTCTTTTCCTTTCTTTGTAATAACTTAACGAGAATAGTTCCAAAAATGTTGCTCACTTAATTTAACATGTATATGATGCAACTGAAGACATGTATATGGAGTTATGGACCATGAATATACCTGATTTTAGGAAGCACTTACGAGTATCATTACTGAAATTTTCAAATGTATAATGAAATTCCGTTTTAGTGGTTATATCTTTGACTCAATTATGCCCCAGCGAACTGTATGAATAATCGTCATGGAAAGAGAAGTAATTTGGGTTTCTTTGCTAGTTGTTCATTCTTCTCCAGTATTGGTATTCAAAATAATTCTATTTCAGGAACTTGCCGGAGGTCCGAAGTATTCACAAGGTCCTCGAAGTTCCAACAGTCAGTGTTAGGTTTGGAACTGACCTTTCTTCTGGGATTGGGGAATGGCAGCTAAGACTAGTATTTTTCCTTCTGTACGTAACACAACTTTTGAAGATCAGATCATTACTTTTGATAAATAGGTATAAGATATATGTCTTAGGTGTTTTCTGGTTGCGATAGCTAATAGTTCATATTTGGCACCGTGCATCCGTTTCTAGGATATGATTAATCATATCGGATGTTTGGTAAGGCATATTGGATAGTACTGGACAGTATTAAAGAAGAAAATAAGTTAAATTTCGTTCAATGTACTATCTAGTCCTATTTCCCTACCATATACACTTAATTGAATTGTATAGATAATCCAATATCGGTACTTTTACACCGATAATCTTACCATATTTTCACTAAGGTTGACTACTAGTAATATGATTAAATCTTACGCCTACAAGTTAATTCACATAATAGGATAAGAATTGTAAGGCAATGTCTTGTCAGCTTGAATGATAATTTTGCTCATCCAAAAAACCATAATGGTGTCCTAAAATGTTGCTAGGTTATGCTCAGATCGTAGTTACGATCATAATATGTCTATCTAACATTGAGCAAAAATATAGAGGAATTTCTTAGAGACAGAAGCAAAGTTCAAGAATTGATTCAACTATTTGATCCTTTAGTTCGCGCAGTTGATGGAATTGCTGGAGAGAGAGTCTCGATGAGGGTGTGATTCCTTTTAATTCCCATGACTTCTCTCTTAAGGTCGGATTTAAAACTCTGCATCACAAGAAAATTTATGTTCATCCATTAATATCTCGTTTTCCATTTCCTTTCGAACTGGTTGATTTGCAGTGTTCCAATGGGCGCCATGGAATAGGAATATTCAATCACAGGAGACTATCCGAGTAAGTTTCTCTTTTATTTTCTCGGTCTAGTTAATGGAAATCGTTTCTTGATTCCACTTCAGACGTTGATCCAAAACTCTCCATATTAACATCCCTGGACTGCATTTACTGTACTCTTGGTGCTTCAGTAAATTTGAGAAATTATGTAGAAGAGTAATGTTATCTAGCACCTATCTAGGTGGCCACACTCAGTATGTTCAGTTAAAGGAATTATGTGACATTGCATTTAAGTGAATTTATCATTTAACACTATGCAGTTACCATCTAAACTGGTGCTTAACACCATTGATGCTGAATAGCATTACTCTATGTAGAAACCTGATGTTTGAGCAAATTTTCTGACATAATATACCATTTGATGCATATTTGTTGATTGCCGTCTTTCAGATCGGTGGGAAATGCAACAGCTGCATTTGTGCTTGCCATGCTCGAGGAAAGCACACAACCGGGCGTTTGGTTTTCAGTAGTGTTATGCAGGCCATTTGTTAACAATATCACCAAGGAGAAGTATATGCTTATTCACATGTAATCGTGATATTACAGAGGATAGACTGTTTAGTCAAGCATAAAAAATTTAGTTACAAGTAAGTTTTAAAATAAGTTCACTTTTTTATTGGCCAAATTTGACACTTTTTTATTGGCCAAATTTGAAACTAGTTAAGCTGTTCATCTTGACCTTGACGGTAACATAAGAATTACTTTTTAAAAAATAACTTTATTTAGTTGAAAGTAATTTATCCACACACTTTTAAGCGTTATGATTATGGTATTGCGAAGAATAACTGATATGGACGCAAAATATATGCTTCTAGTCGTTTGTACTTATTTTATGCTTTGCTTGTAGCCCGAAGGAATTGCAATAGAGGCGAGGGAACATCTTCTCCAACGTGCCACGCAAGAAACAATCTGTTTCATAATTATGCAAAATCTTCTTCCTCTAATTTGTTCTTTCATCAACTTAAGATAGCCTTGGCTAAATCAATATTTTTCTCTTTTAATATGGGGCTCCATGGATGGTTGAAACAGAACCTAAAGAGATTGGATTTGGAATTTACATGACAATTCTTGTAAAAAAAAAATTATGCAACGTAAATCTGTTCAAAAAACATGGGTAAATTGCTGTCATGATTTTTTAACACTTTCTTGAAGAAGCTTTTACTCGTTCATATTCTAGATTATGGTATAAATATGGTTTTAAGAACTACACTTTACACAAATGCATATGCATACATTCAACTCCTGTCTTATAATCTAACAAAGATATGCGTAAGGGCTTTCGTGTTAAGTCAGTAGCTCCAGCATATCATTAGAGGTGTAAAAATGTATCAAGCTGAGCATCACAATTTTCTAGCACCAGAGAACTTTGCCATTCCGGGCTCCACAAACACCAGGTCTCTTATATTCAAAGAAAAGAAACAAAACTGATCTGAACATTTAAGTCTCAAATACTCACAACATTCTACTGAAGGAATCAAAGCAAATCCTTTTCCTGTCTCAACATAATAGTTTACATACATTACTCAACAAAATAATACTCTTCCAAACCGGAGAGCAAATTTTAAATCACTTCTAAATTGTCACAAGCCACAACCTTAAATTTTTGCATAATTTGTGACCATGTTACACAAACGAAAACCATAGTGAAAAGTGAAAACTCTCTGAACAATATAATAGCCGAAAATACACTCAATTTATAATTAAATTTTCAAATCTGTGTAAAAATCTTCTATACAGTAACATGATCTCAAAAGGCAAAATTTACAGCAAAACTCACAGTTGTACATGTACCCGAAAATTTAACTCTGTCAGGTGATCCATCCTCTGGAAAACTACAGTTGTATTCATACAAGTTAAATGATAAGGTTCCTCTTTCTTACAGAGAAACTTCAGGTTCTTGGGTTAGCAAGTATCCAAGACCATCAGTCTTTTCATCAGGATCACTGTGTCAGGGCATCAATTGGTCATTCTTCTCCGTTAAATATATGCATATACCACCGTTCATACAAGTTTCCAGAATATAGAAGGAAAACATGTCTCCAGCACAGACCTAGCAAATGCTATCTTTTCTTCATATTCTCCAAATATATGCACAAACCAACAGTTTTATTTTCTTGGCAACACATACAAACCACAAATTAGCAAAAATCCCATTCAGAATTTCCAATTTCAAAAACAAATAATCCATCCATTGGTCACCTGCTGTTGAGTCGCTGGAATCATTTTGCCAAATTTGAGAAGTTTCAACAAGGGAATAAACCAACAGACGATTAAGCCCATCATGATCCATGGCTCGGATACTGTACTCGCATACAGGAACAGTCATCATGCGTACCAGTTATATCGGTTTCTTTCTGACCCTCTAGGTTGAGCGTTCCCAAACGATCTCCAACCCTCTGACTGTTGTCTCCGACCGCCACTTCTCTCAAATGAGTAATTTTGGAAATCGGAATGTACTTTTGATGTGTTGTTTCCATTGCCTCTGTTTTGAGTATTTCGTATCTCTTCTTCCTGATCATACCGTGAACGCTACAAGTACACAGAATTTAGCCAAGTAAATAAAGTGTTTCAATAGTGCATTTTAATGCTATAATCAATGGTAGACACACTAAAGTGGTTTTTGTAGTGGATTGTTATGTTGGTGCATGTCACAACATGAAACAAATTTAAGGAGTGAAAAAGAAATGCTTCAAAAAATGAGGAATGAACAGAGATGGAAAGATGCACAGTTACACACCGGGAGACTATTGTTATTTTAAGTGTCAGACTGGAAACATCGATTCATCTCTGAATGGGGTTGGGGGGAGGGAGAGATAAAATTGCAAAATTATGAACAGCGAGAAGTCTTGTCAGAAAAATTATGGTCATTTTCCAGCACTGTACCATCATTTGAAACATAAGAAGTCCTGTAGCTTTAACATGAACCCCACTGATCAAAACATCTAACAAATACAAAAAAGACTAAAGTCTTATTACCAATAAATTTGGGGTGGTTTACATTCCCTTCAAGCCAGTACCTCATCTAACATAAAATACTTAAATGAGCAAATTTCCAAAGTTCAACATGAACTTGTATTGCAGGCCTGGGAAACACATGATGGAGAACCACAAGTCAATGATTAACATTATACCCCAGCAGACTAACTCAATACTCCTATGGTTCAGATGCATACACTTTATTACCTCCAACCACCAGGATCACTTCTCTAACTTAAAACTTTACCATACTATGCCGGAGGATCTTACGTGTATTTTGAAAAAGTATAAAAAGAGGGTGGATAACCTGTAATCATTTAGAACTGAAACAAACCTTAGTAGGGTCTGAAAGTACTGCATACGCCTCCCCAATCATTTTGAAGAGCTTGTCTGCATCTTTATGTACCTCTTCTGCTATTTCTTTCCAAAGCCCATCATCTACATTTTCATTTCTAAGCAAGGACTGACCAGCCTGTTTCAATGGAAATTTTATTAATTAATTTAGCTATTTATTTGTCTAAAATGCAATGAAGGTAGAGGCACAGTCATTCAGAAGAAATTTTTTTATCCAAAACCTTGTCAGGGTGATATTTGAGTGCAGCTTTTCGATAAGCCTTCTTAATTTCTGATGCTGCGGCAGATGGATCAACTCCCCTGGCAGTTCAAAGTATCCCATCACTCAATAAAAGTACAGTTTCCATAAAGTAATATATATACGCAGAGAGAGAGAGAGAGAGAGAGAGAGAGTTCTGGCAATAATACTGTCTTTGATAAATGAAAAACTAAAAGTTGGGTTATAATGGCAGGTCCTTGAAAGTGGCTACAAAGATGTTGCTCTACTTGTAGCATTGATCGTAAGAGGCATAAATGAGAAATCAACATTTTCCATCATCAGAAAAAGGGAGGTGTATTACTCATCACTATGGCTTGTGGAATAAAGCATCACTCGAAACACTCATCTGTCAATAATGTGGACTATTAAATGCAAAGAAAACCTATTTTAAGTCCTAGAACTACATGTAGATTCCTGACATTTGCCCAAAGGTTCTCAATATCATAGGTGAATACCTACACTTACTCTAAACCATTTTAATTGCTAGAAGCATAAATGCTTAAGTTTCATGACTCGGAAGAACTTTGAACTTTATGTAAAGAATGCTCTTGCAATTAATTGTAAGATTTGTAATACATACATGATGTAAACTACCAGGACACAGTAGAGATAAAGACAACCACGACAATCTTCTAAATATATCAGCAGAAACAGTGTAATCTAACAAAGATTGTTATAAGTTGCATATCAAGCAGAAATCTATGTATAAAAGACAACAAATAACATAATCAAAGGGATAATCTGAATTTTGAAAAAGTAACAACAGAATAACAAGAGTTGATATTCTTGGAAGACAGAATTTTACTGAATGATTAAAGCATGTTCAGATCCTTAACCAGAGATACTTACAAAATGAGATACATGTTCAGGGGGATTTCATTTCTAGATGCCTCTTCAATTGAAGAAAGTTTTAGTCGAGCTTGTCTAAGCTCATTAATGCAATTCATTTTATCAGATGGTCCAGATTGATTCATCTTACTTTCCACTTGATTTATAAGAAGGGATACAAGTCTCTGAAGATCTGCAGCTGCTTGTCCATAATCTCTAATAATCTCAAACAACATGGCTCGTCTAGAAACAGCCTGCAAATAAACAATCAAAACAGAAAAAGGTTGCAGTTAAACCGCCAAAGCTATCATTACCATCCTTTTATGCTCCTTGGTGTTAAGTCCACGTATATCTAAGTTTCGAGGCAAGATAAAATCCACAAGTAAAAAACTATCATACAACTATATCATAGTTTCTGAACAAGCAGTTGAGCAGATGAGTAAAATTCGAGTTGAAATTCACTTCAAAACTTCAAACGTTTCAAAACCAAGTTTGTGTACAATCAGAAATACTGATGCCTGCTCCAGAGTTAACAACCTTGGAAATAACAAAAAATATGCAAATGCACATATTTAGCTAAGCTTAAAAAGTTTGCTTATAAATAACTCAGTCAGTCTTAAAATAAAGTTTTTTTATGGATCAAATAGATTTTATTGATCAAAATTGGAAATAAGTATGTTCTTTGACAATAATGCAAGAGTTACCTTCACAATAAGCAAGTTTCATTTTTACCTTGAAAGGAAGAAAAAGGTATGTCACCCAAACATGTTTGGAAACAAGAAGTTACTATTAAAAGTAACATTTACTTGTATTTATGCTTAGCACAACATGCTCGTAACTTAATTTATTTCCAGAGCATCTACACAGACTACAACTAAATGTTTTAGAGGCAGACCTTTATATAGCTTCCATCAAGGGCTATAGCCACGCTGCAATCTGCAAGGGCGTCTATAATTTGTCCCATAGCCCGATATGCAGCAGCACGGTTACAAAAACAAATTGCTGCAAAAGGACGTGACTCTACAGTGCACAATATAGCAGCAGTGTAATGTTCAACAGCTTCTGCGTGCTTTCCAGATTGATATGCTTCATTTCCTGCAGCCTGAAGAATGAAAGAACAAGGTCAACAAATCCAATGCATTAAATTTTACACATGGAGATAGGAGGATAGGAAGGAAGAGAAACATAAAAAAAGAGAGAGAATAAAACTTGAAGGTAGAGATCAAAATTTGGAAATATTGCAGATGACAAGAACAGTCTCAACTAATCAAATACTACTGTCACGATGAGTCCATATATTAAACTTGATCGAGAGATTACTAATGAATATGCACAAGTCAGTTAAGGTAATTCACACATATGCTTAAGCCAAACTATCTCTAGTCATCAGCCCCATCGAAAATAAGTAACGAAACAATGTATTGAAAGTCAAAATAATATGAGAATTTATATGAATGCATGTTCAATTTTTTTTTTTTTTAATAATATATGCACTTTTTAGGTATACAAAAAAGGTAGGTTGCGTAAGCTCACCAATCCCTTCACAATTATATCATTTATCACTTGTCACTAACTGTTTAATATATCTTTAATCCATAATAGATTGGTTGAAAGAAGAATGTATGATGGGAATCCTAGAAGATTATTATATGCGTACTTTCCATGTTTCAATCCTTATTTTAAGAAAAGATACAAGGTTTGTTTACTATATTTTCTAGGATTTTATTATGTTTATTTACTAGGTTCTCTAGGATTTTATTAGATATTCCTACTCAGAATAGGTTCTTTGAAACAAAAGAGGCCTACGTATTGTAACACACACAACATTTATGAATTAGATACTTCCTTTTTCCTAAATTCTGCTTCCATCTGTCTAATTCTTCTTCCCTTTCTATCTCCCCTTCTTCTCTTATCCCCCTCCTTTCTCCTCCTTCTCTTTCTCTTCCTTTCTCAATATTGTTCTATATTGTTCCTCATCAATTTGGTATCAAAACAAGTCGTTTTACTTTGGTCAAATAAATTTCGTGAAGTTTCAATCGGTATTCAAAAATCATAGCAGCAGCAACCATAATAACAAAATCCACAACTCATCCTCCACACCTATCACCACCTTATCTACTATGAACCACAACCCTTAAAAAGGTAGCAGCAACTTGACCTTTCAAAAACAATTGAATTGAATCAGCTTGAAGATGATGATTGGGACACCGTTTGGCTCTTCTAAATCTCGTGAGGTACCAATTTCTTTTATATTGGAAATGCGCGAAAAAAAAATTTTTAAAAATCATATCTCACCATGAATTCATATAAATCTTATAGCTACATCATGCTCCTAAGTCATTACCACAATAGTGTGTTTACTGTCTTTCCCTCAGCAATACAGTAATTCCAAGTTTAGGGAATGTGTTGACATCTATTATCCTTCTAGGAGAGTTAACTTACAACTGTAAGACTTTGATGGTTTGGCTGGTCCCGAGTCAATTTTGAAAAATTCTTTAACTTTCACGAATTTAGTAACTCGTATTTGTCATGATAATGTCACTTTTCGAATTTGTTAGACATTATTGGAAGTCATTTTTGCATGGCACTGATCATGTGGGATGAGATGAAACAAATATTAATTAATAAATACGTCCATGTGCATTATCAAACTCGGTTGCTCAATTAATTATATCGGTACTATAGGCAAGTACGTCCATTATTAGGGAATATCTAGCCCACTTCGAAGAGCTATTATACAGTTGTGATATTTATGGAGCTTCCCACGTCATAGCATCTATATTCTCAATAGTTTAAATCCTGAAATCTTGGAGGACAACATTCCTGCAACCAAGGCCGAGCAAAAAGCAACTCAAACCACTCAAACCGACCAATCCAATTCAAACGGACCAGTTTAGGTTGGTTTTCAAGTTCAATTGGGTTGGGTTAGGTTGGAAAAACAAATTTTAGGTCAGGTTGGGTCTCAGGTTATAATTCAAAACCCAATTCAACCCAACCCAACCCAACCCAACCCAATTCGATTAATTAAAAAAATTAATACCTAAAATGGAAAAACCTAAATAGACACAATAGTGGAGACAATAGAAAGATTTAGAATGTACAAACGTCCCATTTTATTTTTTATATAGGCTGATTGGTATGAATGCTATATACAAATGCAAAATAATTTGATAATAAACTAAAAATTTAGGATATGATAATGAAATGAATAAATGCCAAAAAAAAATTATAAAAAGAAAATGCTCCATAGTTTCAAACTTTTTTATAAATTAATTTTCAGGAAGAATTCCTAATATAGATTAAAAATAACGAAAATTTTCAAGTGGTTTCAAACTTTAAAAATATCCAACTTGAATTGGGCCTAAGCCCAAACTGACCAACCCATACCAATAGCTTGATTGGTTTGGGTTGGGTTAAATTTAAATTAATAATTGGGTTAAATTGGGTTGGGTTGGATTGATTTTAAATCAAACCGACTTGGGTCGGGATTGGATTGGATAAAAACCCAACCCAACCCTCTTGTACCCCAATCCTTAAATGAAGCTTATCGATAGACCAACCTATGAGATATATCCTTCTTCTCCAAGAATGTCATACACTAGGCCTGCCACCCAGTCCTGACAGTCACTTCTTAAGCCTAATTGCATAAGTCTTCATCTTGAAGAAGAAAATGCGATTTTTATTATTGAGCTTATTAACCATTCTGACAGCGAGGATGAGGAATTACCTATGATGTTACCACCTCAGCTACATAGTCCACATGTCAACAACTTTTTTGCCAAAATTGTTATTGCATACTTCTTTACGTAACTTCAACATTAGCTTTGTTGTAGCGTTACCTCAACTACAATATACTCCTCGAGTTACCACATTTTCCAAGGCCATTGGTTAATCATATACTTTTCCTATTGATACTTGATTGTTGTCTCCTAATTACCGTCATGTTCTTTTAGCCCCAACATCTATTGTCCATTTTCATAATTTTCATGATGAGATAAGATACAAATTTTAATTGAATAATGAAAATTTTGAGCTTGTTTTCTACTCACATTTTAGACACGGATGATTTCACGATGATTCTTATGCATTGTTATGTGTTTCTTTGGCATGGTTTCTAAAACATGTAAAGAAAAAAATTTAAATCACTCATTTGAACTTAACCTATTTGACTTGCCATTACACTTAAATGTAAGTTTTTATTTTCAATATAGCATAATTGTTTCCTTATTAGGACACATTCAAACTACTGTTGTGATCATATGTTTTTGCATACCAGTCTACTGTGCTAGTGCTAGTGCTAGTGCATTGTGTTCATGTAGATTTCGTGATAATTTTTGTGGATACGTTGCATAGGTTGTTGCTTTTTGGAGTTTCATGTTGCTACTTGGTTGGAAGAAAGATCGTCCTCCTTAGCTCAGAGGTTGCAATTTATCTAGTCGTAGTTGAGATCTCTTAGTCGAGAAAACATGATACGAATCCTAAAAAATTATTATATGCATACTTTTCATGTTTAGAACCTTATTTTAGGAAAACATACAAGTGTTTATGCACTAGATTTCCTAGAATTTTATTATGTTTATTTATTAGATTATCTAGGATTTGATTAGATATTTCCTATATAGAACTTTGAAACCTTATATAAATGGGGCATATACATTGTAGTACATGCAAATTTGATGAATTAAATAAAGATACTTCCTTTCTCCTAAATTCTACTTTCGTGTGCCCCATCATTCTGTCTCCCCTCCTCTTTTCAACATCCTTTCTCCTACTCCTCTTTCTCTTCCTTTCTCAATCTTGTTCTATATTGTTCACCATCAATGTACCTCCCACAAAATTAAGATGAGGTTCTATTAGACAAGACATGCAAGACAAACATTCAAACTTGAATGTCTTGTCCATATAATACATCTTACATGGTGTATTAAAAATCATTGCATCACTCAATGCTTTGAAGTAAATCCACATCTGATCGATGGAGGCCAGCCCATGACAGTGTATTCTACAAGCACCAAAAAGTGAAGTTGAATCCCTGTCCCATTCCAAAAACTACAATCTCCATATCCTATAATATGAGATACATAGCTAAGATTCTACTCACCCAAGAGAAATATTAAAGAAAAATATAAACTCACCTTGTGGTGTAATAGCTCTCGAATTATGCCAACCAAAGGTATTATCGATTCCAAAGTCTTGTTTTCTCTCCTGCAGAATCAAATTGGCATGAAAACTTCTAGCCAAGAGGTAGACCTGATAATGTAATTTCTAAAAGTGAATGACTTCTATGTGATATATACTGACAACTATTGAGTATTACCGTTCCACGAGAGAAACTGAGTTCTCTTGCTTCTTCAGAAAAGCCAGAGCTTCCTCAAGTCTTCCTAAATAGAAGTAGGACTTCACAATTAGTGACCAGCACCAGACATTGAAAGTAGGGCTCCTTTGTAGATAAGAAACGTGTGATTTTTCTGATGGGTTATCATCCCCATAAAACTTGGACCCATCAGAGCTAAGAGTTTGCTCGCATAGCTGAATCACCTCTTCATACTTCTTTAGCTGTTAGTAAAACCAGACCAAAATACATGCAAGTATTTTAATATCACATTTAAGGCTTGAGTACTATATTATAAAATGTATTATTTTTAATATTCTAAACTATTTAAAGTACATCATTGAAGTTTCAAGTAGTAGTAACAAATACCATGAGAAGAGCATCTACTTTCATTTCAAGTAATTTTTCAGAATAAGCACTTGTCGTCAAAGCCTCAGTAATCAAACTCAAAGCACATTCAGCATCACTGGATGTTTTTCGTTGCAAGAGTTCAGCAGATTCCTTAATGCATTCTGTTACTTTCTGGCATTTCATGGAAAAAAGAAAAAGTAAATCAAATAACTCCCATTTTTCAGATGAAGTTAATTTTGGATACCTCAAAAGGGAAAAATAGAAAGAAAATTAAAAATCTACTGACTTGTATTGCAGTGCCATTAGTGTGTGTATTTTTAAAATTTGCGACTTAAAATGTTCAAGTGTTAGGAAACAACCCATTTCCTGTTTCAAAAAATAAAAAGGTAAAAGAAGAAATTGTTTCTAGACTCCTTGTTTTTATTAATTTATGTATACAACTCAACCACTTAAAAAATTAGGGTACATTTGATTTGTTGTTCTCAAGCAGTTAGCTTTTAGTTTTGCATAACACTAAAAATGTGTTTGGTCTTAATAATTTTTGACTTTTCGAAAATTTTGAAAACATGAAAAAACAAGCATTTAAATAAAATTTTAAAAATAAACATAGTTCAAACTCTTAATGATTGTTTACATAAAAGTTATAAAAAATATTAATGAACACAAATAAAATTTATCAATCCATGTCATTAATTTTTCTTTTTGTTTTCTATAATTTTTAACTCAATTTATTATTTGTTTTTATTTTACTTTGTAGTGTAAAAAAAATATTGTAAGATTCATCAACTTTAAAAAATATATATTACTTTATAATATATTAACATAAAATTGCACTAATTTTACAGAATAATCAAATTTCATGGAATAAAATATAATAGAATAATTTTTCAAAATTTTAAACCGAAAGTGTTCTCTAATTTTCTATTTTGAGAGATAATTTTTCAAAATAACAAACCAAACGCATGTTTAGCAATCTTAAAACAGACCTTCAAAATTAGAAAACTGAAAATGAACTCAAAACTTAAAACTAAAACACAAACCAAGCGGGCCCTTAGTCTCTAGTTCTGTTTCTCATGTCAAAAATTCCATTTAATCTGCCTTCACCAAAATTTGGATACCACAATTCATATTTAGTTGTTTATTGAAACAAGAATTTAATTATGTTTCACTCACTGATTTATTGGGACCACCAAGAACTTTCATTTCAATAGAATGAAATCATTAGTTCAGTTCCTTGGGACGACTTTTTTCTTTTTAATGAACACATTACATCTTGAATCCTTGATTTCAAGTTCATGTGATTGGCATAGAGATTCACCATATTCTTGCATAACTGGTTTCACTTGCTTTTTCAAAATGTTTTTCATCGGTAATAGAGCATCACCAGCAACAGAACATTACGACAAAAAAATTACAACAGATGATAGTGTCAGGTGACATTATTTCGATTACATACCTGCGCCTTTTCAAGGCCCTCAGATGCTTCTATTAAAAGTTTTCTGTCCACACATGCCTCAGGCCCTGCTTGCAAGCACTTCATGAAATGCAGAGTTGCATTTTCCACTTCCCCGAGGGCAAGGTAACAGCTAAGAGATGGAAAGAGAACTACATAAGTCAGAAATATGATTTTGTACAACAGGTTAACAACAGTATAGTTATTCATCAATGATTTTTCAATGTTGCTATGCAATGTTATGATAATTTGTAGTGTTATAGCCTATAAGTATCTTATATCCAGACAACCAGTTAGTTATATAATGCTGCATGACTTTATTGAATTTACAGAATTTTAAAAAATATCAACAGTAACAAAGTAAATCAAGGAACTTAATAAGGGTATTCCATATTGGAAATATTGTCAAGTAAGTTATTCAATGAAATAAGAGGTTGAGTTTGTTTTTTGGGGTACCAAATAACCTTATTCTTAAATGCTCATAAAAGGCACCAAGGAGGAGCACCAATACACAGAACCAATACAAGCATCTCTTGGATCTTTATGAAGGGGGGACTAAGACACAGAATAAAAGGTAAAATCAACTTTGATAACGGAGTTCAGGAAAAGGGGGGGTGGGGGGGAAGAAGACATATAATATTAAATGCCTTAGGTCCATTAAGCCCCTATTTGATGGCCATTATTTTGAAAAAAAAAATGATGTTTTGAATAGTAATTTTTCGGAAAATGTGTGGTTAAAAAGTAGGGAATAAGTTTAGGGTTTACGTGCAAAATATTTTATTGTGTGAATGTGTGGTTGAAATTAAGTATGAGAATTAGGCCCTGTTTGAGCCACATTATTTTTTACATTCACATTCTTCTACTCATTTTTAACCACACATTTTTCAATAAAATAATATTTTACATCCCATCAATAATTTTTCCTTCTTTTTCAATCACATATTCCCCATCATATCAACAGTAAAAATGCATTCTTTTTCCAAAAATGTGTACCAAACGAGGGCTTAAAGAGTTTTGTTTTAAAGGGAGAGAAATAGGGGCCAAGTCTTACTACTATATTATCTAGAAGTGGCTAAGCAGTAAAAGTCGCATAACCTTCATTATTTGTCAAAATAATCATAATACTTTAGTAAAGACAAAATCAGATATATTGCTTTGGAAAGACAAATTTGGTTATTCCATACTTGTATTGGGCCCCAAAAACCTTCTTATGTCAAATCCCAATCAATCCTATCCAATTACCCCATCTATTGAACATTAACAGTTCTACCAGTAAAGAGGGATAGAAGCAGGCAAAGCACAGCTTTCTCCTTCAGAATGAGAAATGATACACACCAATAGAAACAGAATTCTCCTATGCTAACAGGGCTTCAAAGCAAAAAATGGAGCCTTGACAGTTAACTAGGCCCAGGCTTGGCTTTAGGGCCTGTTTGGGCCAGATTTTAATCAAATTTTAATCTAAGTCAAAGTCAAACAATCAATATCAACCACATCTTTCATGAGTCCACATCTTTTCTACCACACATTTCAAAAACTTCAATCACAATCCACTTAAAATCTGATTTTAATCTACACCAAACACCTTCTTAATTTTAAGACCTTAATTCCAAAATTGCAGCAGTACTCATTAGATTCACGAAAAGCCTACAATGACTTTTCATCCACTAAACCTACATTAGTGCTAAAACCATATAGTAGCAAAGTACCAACACCTTCTTCACCCAAATCCCCAATAAAGCTTCAATATAAGAAGTCTTTTCTTAGGGGGACTACAACCAATTTCCCTTTTCTTTCTTTAACTTGTGCAAATACCCATTTTTTGCCTGCATTCTGAGAATTATAATTTATGGTTAGCTTTCATCATCAATATCATCATCTACATGCTCTAGTAAGTGGTATCAAAACATCAGGCCTCCACTAAAGTTACCCAAAAAATAAATGTGAAAGAAAAGATTTTTCAAGATTTCAACATGGTATCAAAAGATTTTGGTGTGTGTTGCACCATAAACTAAATCATCCCATACTAGTAGTTTTCCCTCTACATGCCAGACCTTATCTCCTATCACCGAAGGTGGCTTATAACATGAAAGAAAAGAAACCTAGATCACTGCTGGGGATAAAATGACCACAAGGAGACATCAAACCGAAGAGAGAGAGGGATTGGAGCCAAAAGACAATAAGACAAAAAGAAGGCATGTCTTACTTTGCTGCTCTAACTTGCACCCTGATGAAGTTGGGATCTAAAGCAGCAGCCTCCATACAATCTTTTAATGCTTCTCTCATTCTGCCAAGTGATATACGTGTTGCTGCACGGTTGCTATAGCATAACATCAGAGCCCTATGACAGCTTCTAGATGTCTCATTTTGGGTAATACAATTCACCCCTTGAGTGTAACATTCTTCAGCTTTCAAAAAATCCTCCTTTGCATAGGCTTGATTTCCCCTGACATGAAACAACAGCAGTACCATGACATATGCGTACATGAAAGTTGACATATAGCAATTTACTAGAACTAACAATAGAAAAGCTGGCAGAACAAGAGGTAGAAAGGGCCAAGATAATCACTTATGATTTCCAGGCTTCAAAATGCAATGCAATATGTACTCAAGGTACAGATATAAATTCAAACCTTAGTCGCCATTTTTCACAGGCTTCCTGAGTTGCAATGCTTGCAGCTGTAGGAGAAATATTTTCTTGCTCAGACTCCTGATCTTTGACTGGCTCAAATTTATCTCTTATTTGGCTTAACAGGGTAGATACATCACCTCTCTGATCCTGCCGAGGAGATGACAACAGAGATCCAGAAACTGGAAAAAGAGGCAGGTGGGATGATGCATGTGAAACTTTAGCAGCTGGAGTAGAACTATATGAGTCGTGACTGACTTTAATCCGACTTTTCTTCTTCTGGAAGCGTGTTGATGCTGATGACTCACCATGATCAGCGGAAGATGCAGCAAAGATGAAACTGCTTTGGCCACTGTGTTCTATATTTGAAGCAAACTTAAACTGGGGACCTCCATCATTATCTTCTCTCTCAAATATGGAACTGGAACTTACTTCAGTATCAGCTGCAGTAACAAATGTGTCAGTGCTATATTCTAACTCGTCGGTCGCAGACTTGAAGCTTTCAGTCTCAGCCCCAGAAACCTCTTCTTCAGGAGCCTCAGAATCAACAACTCCATTGAGACAATGAGATGGTTCTTTCTCTTGTAATTCTCCATCATTTTGATCTCCTTCATTTATATCTAATCCCTCTGTAGCAGCAACTAGATCTTCATCATCTGTATTATTTGATACATTTGGATATGATTCACTTGAGGTATCAATATCATCAAAGTGGAAGGCCTCATCTGATGCCACAGACGTCCCTCTTGAAATATTATTATCTGCCAGGGTTTCCTCATACGGAGAAATATCCATAGGAGAATAGGGTTCAGAAGATTCAGCATTTTCTTGCAAATTTTCCCTGAAAACAAAGTCTTGCCCAAATCTCAACTGGACAGGTTTCCTACACTTTCCCCTCTTTTTCTTTGACCAAGTTTCTTTTGCTGATTCCCTCTTTGGTTCCACTTTTCTGTTCAAGCCAAAAAATAAGTTCCTTTTCATATCCGGGGTTTTGAACTCCATGCTTTGTGTTGCCACGCTATCCAACTTGCTAGTGAAACTGAACTCAAACTTCTGCTCGGCTCTATGCACGATACTCTCAACTGGTTTGAAATGAATGCCACCAGATGAAAATCTTGTATTACCTTGATTTTTGAGATGCACCTGAGTATCAATATCTGTATCCAGTATCCCTGCCTGAAAAGTTAATCCTGAATTAGTCAAACCCAAAACACTGTTCACATTAGTAACATCCGAATTCTTCTGGATGTCACTAACAGTTGCAAAGGAATCAAAACTTGCATTTATTTGGTCAGAATTGTTTCCAACTCCACTTCCCATTTTTAAGTTCTCCATCTCATTACCATCGTCACTGCCTCCAAATGTGAATTTACCATTGTCCCTTGAAGTAACATCATCAACCTTCCCATCGTTGGAAGAACTCAAAGTCTCTTTAATTGTCAAATTCTTCATCTTGTTTGGAAGAATAGTGTCTGAGCTTCCACTAACATGGTTTTTAATATCCAAATTCTCCATCTTGCTTGAAAGTTCTACTCCCACATTTCCACCATACACTTTACTAAAATTTTCACTTCCAATATACATCTTTCTCATCTCATACGGTAGTTCTGAAACCACTCTTTCAACATCGCGATTCTTATCATTGTAATTGTAACCACTCAAATTTACATTACTAAACACATCACTGTTACATCTGTTACTATTATTACTAATATTCGCATTCTCGCTATCAAATTCCATCTTCTCACTCTGAATTCGCAGTCTCCTCATTTCATCAGCAACTCTACTTTTCTCTACATCACTATTCATATCATTAGAGCTAAACAAATTAATTCCAGCGTTACTATTATTGGATCCAAAAATGCCACGACCCTGATTCAGTTGGCCAGACCCAACGCCCAGTCCAGAATCCGGTCTGACAGTATTAAAACCTTGATCATTACGAGTAGTTTCGATGCCCTGATCCTCCTGAAACAACCCAAAACCCTGTTCCGATACAGATCGAAACGGGTTGTCAATTTCTCGGGCCGACGTGGACCAGGGGCGGTGACCCGATGGTGTCTTCCGGTGCTTGGCTAAGCGAGGTGGCCTCGAAACTCCGGTGGGCTTGGAGGTGCCCAATGCCGCGGAGTTAAAGCCCAAATTAGGATCCATTTGATCCGAACTCAGATACCAGGATGATAATAATAATACACTATTATTGTATTACAGATTAGGAGAGAAAATCATACCAGGTATACAGCGGGGCACCGGAATCAACGATGGCCAGCAAAATAAAGTCATCTAATCGGACTGTTGATAATGAATGATTTTCATCGGAAATTTTGAAAAACCAAAAATCTAGGAAGGAAAATGGGATTTCATATCTGATTTATGTATATCAAATAAGAATTTAAAAAAGGGTAGGGTTTTGTATTTTCGAATTTTTATAAAAAAATATTTTAGAATTGTGTTTTTTTGTTGTTTCTGGATGGAAGGAAAAGAGAATAGAGAGAGATGTGTGCTTCTCACGATAATCACTGGCAAAAAATAATGTTTTATTTTTATGTTTCTTGATTATTGATTTTTTAAGATTACCCATTTTTATGGGATTTTTTTTTGGACAATGCTATGGATACAAAAGGGTCTATATAAGGGTCTACATAATGTATATGTGGCATGTGATTCCACCTTTAATTCAAATATGACACTTACACATGAACCTCCGGATGATTTCCACGTCTGCATTATGTAGATCATTATGTACCTTTAGCATTATCTTTTTTTTTTCCTCGACATTGTCTTAGCTTCTGCTTGGGCTCCATTGTGCTACCGTTTGGCCATCATTATTTTTCATTAAATTATAATTTATTTTTATCTCTCTTCTTATCGATCAGGCATTTTTTAATAAAATAATATTACACGTAAATTCAAAAAATAATTATTTTTTTTAATCACACATTCTCCAAAAAATTATTATTCCTTTCGTTAGAATGTGGAATAATGGATGTCAGACGAGTGCTTTATTCAAAATGTGTTTTTAACTCTTTTCGTTTCTACAATACATTCACCAATAAAATAGTACTATATGTAAATCAAAATAAAAAAAAAAATCTTTTGTAATTCCACATTCTTAAAAAAATCACTATTTTAAAATATATTTTTTTCCCAAAATTTGATAACAAGGACTTATTCTATTGAGGAAATTACTAAGTTCATTACTCTAAAAAAGGAACAAATTAAAACATCTAATAACTGTAATTTATAAGGGCCAAAATCTTTGAAATTCTTTTAAAAAGTCTTTAACTGAATGTTATAAAAGTTTTTTATTAATTCCCAACAAATTCATAAAAATCACTTTAAAAGTCGACAAATTCTACAAAGAGTCTTCATTTTAAAAAGTCGAGTTTTTTAAAGTCGTAATTCAATATATCTTTAATTTATTTGAGAATTTTCCTTGTTAAAATTACGAGCCCGATAAACATTTTGATCTATTTTATCCTAATAAATAAGGAGCCCAGATACAACTATAAAGGTGATGGATTCCCCCTCTTGAAAA